TTTTTTTTTTTTTTTTGCTGGGACCTTACCTTATCCTTGCACGGGCTGGCCACCCGGGACCCGGGCGGCCCCGCTGGTAGCCTAGGTGAATTGTATTTAAAAATTGTAGTCTCAGTCTGTGATTGAAAACCACCAGCTCCGATCTACTTCATCCAATTGACGTTTTTAAGACTTCCCCCCCCCCACTTTTTTGTTTACCTTTTCGAAGTTTGGGTCACATTGAATGCTTATAATTTTACAAGTTGCTGGCAAGGAGAAAACGGGTTCGAGAGATGAAAAAGGAAAACAAGGCTCCAAAAAAACGAAGTTCGACATTGGGTGAACACGAAGGGCCCCTGTATATTGATGGCCCCCTTTTTGGCTTTGATGTTAAGTGAACATCCGTGGTCCTACCTCCTTCGCGTTGGAATATCAACGTTGACTTAACACCAGAAACAAAAGGAGGACCATCATCAGGGACCATCACTTCGACTTCACAGCAAAGTCAAACGGAGGACCATCAATAAACAGTCAATATTGATTTTACTTCAAAGTCAACAGGAGGACCATCAATATAAAGTCGATGTTGATTTTACACCAACAGGAGGGCGATGTGCAGGTTTCCTAGAAGGGGGTGCTGAAGAGGGGGGAAAAAAAAGGTAGAAAAGGAGGGTTACAGGCTTACAGCCCCATCGACCGCTGCACCCTGCTGTGCAACTATCTTCTTTTTTTTTCTTGCGCACGGGCCATGCTAATCGTTCCAATTTTAACGGAAATCGTGAAGGACGCTATGACTGACTATCTATTTGTAAATATAACTCTTTTCGGCAACTTGTGACATGTTTTTTTTTGTTTTCTTTTTTAACGTACTCGCAACTTGTGACGTACTTGGATTCACGTCATGTGTGCGTCGCGTAGTACTTTGTAACAAGTTAATAACTCTTTTGAGTCTTTTCAGACTTTGGTATTTGTTCAAGTGCCTGTGTGTCCGTATGCTGATATTTGTGATTCGTGTCGTGTGCATGTCATGACTGATCTATTGCTTCCTGTTTGTCCCTAGAAATCCCTTCTCAAGCCCTCTTTTAAAAACAGGAAAGAAAACTTCAAAACAGAAACATAATTGACAAAAAAAAAACGGACTGCATACAACTGAAGAAGGAGAGGGAAATGAGCTCATGGCATCTGGATGACTGCAAACGTGGAGCTGAAGATGCAGGTGATGGGGTCGAGATAAACTTTATTAATTAAGGTGATTGACTGACGATAGGAGGTCACTGTGATGAAAATGAAGAAATGGCAATGGAGATGGAGACAGAGACAGAAATGGAGATACAGACGGAGATGTGGAGAGAGAGAGAGAGAGAGAGAGAGAGAGAGAGAGAGAGAGAGAGAGANGAGAGAGAGAGAGAGAGAGAGAGAGAGAGAGAGAGAGAGAGAGAGAGAGAGAGAGAGAGAGAGAGAGAGAGAGAGAGACAGAGAGAGAGAGAGACGGAGACGGAGACGAGGAAGGCATTGGCTGGAGATGGAGATGAGCAAACAGCCTCCGGCAACCAGCCAACGCCTTTCTTGGACAAACAGCCTCAAAATGGACGAGAGTGCAGCACCAACTAACTGTTTGGTACATTGCCCGGCTTGATCCAGGGCTCATGCATAAAACCACCTGCTTTTCGGTCAAACCTTTTGGAAGTTTGCATGTTCTTTACCGTTTTCCTCCCTTGTTTTCTTGCCCACCCTCAATTCTTCTTAACAGACTGAGTACCAATCCCAGCGGGAAACAGCGTTTTCTAGACACAACCACAAAAATATGGAAGGCTCAAGGTAACCAACACACGGAGAGATTCCAATTCCGACCTGGAATTGCACCCCCACATCCCCGAAATCCTTGGCACACCCCCTTAAGCCACCAATACTTGGCCTATGTAGAAATCCTTGGCACCCCCCCCTAAGCCACCAATTCTTGGCCCATACATAGGCCGCCGCCTGGCCGCGGCCTTTTCTTTTTTTTTTTCCCAACAGCCCGAGGTGGTGCTAGGGGTGCTGATAAGAGCAGACATCACTAACACTCTCGGGGAGGCTCCATCTATTGGCAGGGGGCAGCACCTGCTGGAAACCGGGTCCAGCGTCCCTGAATATCGTGCTTGCTTGTTTGTACAGACATCAGATTGTAGCGACTGCTAGCTGCATGGCCCACCCTGGGAGAAGGAAGTTAGGCAGGTGGAGCTACACAACTACCTAGTAGCCTAAATTGGTTGCCTCTGTGACTTAGGTGGTAGTATACCCAAGTCCCATGGCCGCTCTCATCTTTCAATCTTGGAGCCAGGTGTTGTCACCTATGAATGATCCCCAGTGCATGTAGGCAAGCAAACCTCCCGTTCCCCTTCCTCCACCCTTTGGAACACGACCTGTTAAACAATGTTAGTTATCTTTGAGCCTGCTACAAGCCATGGGGATCTGAGCTGTCACTGAGTGTGCAGTTGAGCCTTCAGTACCTCCTCACTCATCCTCTGAGCGCCTGATCTGTCGTGAGCCCTCCTTGTACATTTGGCATGCAGAAGTTTTGGGGGGTGTAACCCCTAAACCCTCAACCCTTTGTCTGTCTCTTTTATTGCAAATACAGATAAGCAAATCAAGTAAACGCAAGTAGAGGTACCGAGCCTCTGGCCGTCATTCATGCCCAACCTTGCCAATCAATCAAACAGTAGCCCAAAGCTGGCCTCATGACTCGCCTACGGACCCACGAACGTTGGAAAACTTGCCCTGGTAAAAAATCTCTAAGATTAAGCCAACGAACCTCAGAGCTCTGCAATGGCAGATCCTGCACCGATGCCTCCCCACCCTGGACTGGCTTGTATCGAGAACGAACCTTGAGCAGAGAGGCCTGCTATCCTCCATCTGTACATATTGTGGCAGCCTGGCAGGGAGACGCCTCCAGCCCGGACTACGCTGGAGCACTGCCTGCTGGCATGCCCCATGGTCACCCAGCTGTGGCAATGGTGGGATGCAGCCTTTGACTCCCTCACAGGACAGCATATCCCATGGGATCTTGGGCTTCTACTGCTGGGTAACAATCAGCACTTGCTGGCACAATGGTCCCCCTTTGCAACCAACCTCTTTCCCTATATGAGGTTGCCAGTCCTCATGCTAGCCTGGAGAACCAGATGCTCCCACGAAAGAAGGGACCACCAACTAGGACTGCAGCAAGCTCAACAGGAAATTCAGGAGGAAATAAGGTCCCGTAATCACGAGGTATGGAAAGCCTTCAAACGGAATTACAACGAAGAAAAGGAGCCCGAGTGTCACGGAGTGTGACGTACCAGCTTCTCTACCGAAACGAACTTCGGAAGCCCTGAGTTTTGTTATTTGTACTTCTCGATCTTTAACGGGCTTTAGGGGCACCCTTCCTTTTTGTTTGAAGTATGCATGAAATCAATGGGCGACGAGGCCCTCCTACTTTTTCAAGATTTTTTGTTCTTTTTCTGAGAACTTTTTCGCGATTTTCGATCCAGAAATTAACGTAGAAGTTACTCGTGCCTTAGTGAGTGCGCTAGGAATTTTGAACGACAGTTGGGAATTCTTGGGTTTATGGCCGCGCTTCCCGATGGCGTGTCCTTTCTTGCAAATGAATGCTCCCAAATTCGCACCTGAAAACTCTGTGAATTTTCAGTAGAATCTGAATAGGCGTAGAATTTTCCCGCGTCTGATCTCGCGCTCGGATATCGTTTTTGAATTTCTTAATCTTGAAGTAGCATTAAAACTGGAATGGGCGGAACGTAACTGTTTTGGTGCCTTTTTGTTTCAATGTCAGCGTCATGTATTCAACCTTCCTCCCCCGCCCCCTGCTTCCTGCTATCTCCATGTCATCTTCACCTCTCCCTTCTCCGGGCCTTCTTCTCTCCATCTGTAACTGTTTCCATCCCCTCTGCCCACGCGCTTCTCTCCCGCTCCTTCCCGTCTGAATCTTGGTCCCGCTCTTAACTACTTTTCACGCTTTCCTTCTTCCCTCCCTCATCCCCGTACACTGCGAATAGGAACTCCCTACCGATCCACCATAGGGCCTAAGATACTTTACCCATCAGGCGACATCGTGCAAGGAGGATACTCCCCTCATGCTGTAATATGATTGGCTGCGAAGATACTCGCAGGGATCGATATGGCTTTCCACGGGCGATTAACCCGAACCCTCTCCTCACCCCTTCCTACCTCCCTCCCATTCCCTCCCATCTTCTATCTCCCTCTTCGCAACTATGAAATCTGCAAGCGCATCCGAAAAGCTCTCTCTCAACCCATCTGCCAGTTTTGTGGATGCATAGCGAATCGGGAAGTCCTAACTAGCTGACTGCAGTTTTGCAAGGCTGTGTGCCGGGTGGCCGCGACGGACTGCGGGATCTGGGCAAGCCGGCGTAGAAGCTGAGTTGGCGGGGTGACGATCACTGTGGTGTGGAGGTCGGTATGTGGTGGCTGGGATCACCAGTACCAGGGTAAGGAAGGTGTCTGTGAACGAGTGGTTGTATGGCCTGGGGCCATAGTCAGAGAACAGAAGGCTTGCGCGGCCTTGATCTTCGGTTCCTCCTTTTCTTATATTGGAAGCTAACTTCATGGCAGATTGACGGTTTTGGTTCTCATATCTATTCGTGTGCCTATAACTCCTTTGTCTTAGTCCCCTTCTTCGGTCAAGCTACGGCTCCGTCTACCTCCTTCGACCTCATCTTCCTCCCTCCCTCTCTCTTGGCGGGGTGATGATCACTGTGGTGTGGAGGTCGGTATGTCTTGGCTGGGATCACCAGTACCAGGGTAAGGAAGGTGTCTGTGAACGAGTGGTTGTATGGCCTGGGGCCATAGTCAGAGAACAGAAGGCTTGCGCACCTTTGATCTTCGGTTCCTCCTTTTCTTATATTGGAAGCTAACTTCATGGCAGATTGACGGTTTTGGTTCTCATATCTATTTGTGTGCCTATTACTCCTCATTTGTCTTAGTCCCCTTCTTCGGTCAAGCTACGGCTCCGTCTACCTCCTTCGACCTCGTCTTCCTCTCTCTCTCTCTCTCTCTCTCTCTCTCTCTCTCTCTCTCTCTCTCTCTC